TTTTAAATATTTAATGATTTTAAAAATTAATATTAGATAATATTTAATAATTTTAAAAATATTTTTGAATATTTAATAATTAAAAACATGAAGAGATAAGATAAAATATATATGTGAAATAAGAAAAATAATATGAGAAATTTCAAATTCTTACTTTTTTGAGAGAATTTGAAATTATACTATTTCAAGAAATTTCACAAATGCTTGAATTTCAAATTCCTTATAAATTCTCTATCCAAACAAGGTATTTCACCTTAAAAAATTTAAAATTCTTAAAATAAATGAATTACTTAAAATAAATGAATTACGTCATTTAAATAAATGATTTACATTTATTATAAAATATTTAATTTTAAAAAATATAATTTTTTATAGATAAATTTATACTATAATTTACATGTAATTCATTCATCAAACAATCTCACAAAAACCTTTGATTTCACATGATTTTTCCCCTTCTATTTTTACTTTTTCTATCTTTTTCTCTTTTAAATCTTTTCTCTTACATTTCTTGCTTCTCTCTCATTTATTTATTTATTTATTTTCTTTGTCTCATATATTTTTTTTCTCTATCTTTATCTCTCGTCTTTCTTACTTTTTTCTCTCTCTCAATTTTCTATCTCTTTTATATATATATTTTTATTCATTTATCTCTTTTTCTTCTCCCTTTTTCTTATCTACCAACTAATGTACAATTTATCGGTATTTTATTTTAAATTATTAAATATTTAAAATGATTTTTGTATCATTTAATATTATCTATTGTTAAATTTTTAAAAATTTAAACATTTAACTATTTATTTTTAATAAAGTTTAATATTAAAATATAAAATTTTGAAACACTTGTAGGTCATAGACATGACCCTCAAAATGAAATTGAAGTTTTCAAAATTTAAGCCATGCATCATTAAAAATATGATTGAGAAAATATTTAGTATTTTAAAATCATGTTTCACAATTTTTAAGCCAAGATTCCTATTTTTATTAAAGACACAAGCTGGACTTGTATTAACATGCAATACTACATAAGTTTCCTTGGAAAGAATGTTAGTTTGATGAATTTTTAATTGAATTAGTGCATGAATTTTCATCTTTAATATTATTAATTAATGAAAATCATAATTTTAAACATATTATTTAGACTCAAATGCATGAAAGAGAATATTTAATTATAATAAATAAATATAAAATTAATTTTTTTAAAAAACTTTCTTATCTAATTAAAAAAATACATTTATACAATAAAACGTTTCTATTTAATAGATAAGAGTTGAATAAAAAAATACCTAAATTTGTGAAAGTTGTCTAATTTATGTATGGTAAAGTGTACGAAAATAAAAAAAAGAATAAAAAATTATAGAAAAAGAAAGAAAAAGGAAAACGGAAGGAAAGAGAGAATAAAAACTGAAACACGCACCCTTCGGAGCTGGACACACCAGGCACGCAGGCAAGACACAATACACATTACATTACACACACAGCTCAGAAGGAAAGAACTCGCATCTGTATCTCTTTTCGAATCATTTTCTCTCTCTCTCTCTCTCTCTCTATACATTTACGTTACATAATCCTTCACACACTATATATACCATATCATACTTCATATACAATTCAACCTCTTTTCTCCTCTCTCTCTTCTTGAGTTCAATTCATGGCATCTCAAGCAAGCCTCCTCCTCCAGAAGCAACTCAAAGGTCTCCTACCCTTCACCCAATTCTCCCCTCCGCTCTTTCTTCATTTCCTTGCGTGCTTTTCCCGCGCTCTTCTGATTCATCTTTCTCTTTCTTGCAGATCTTTGCAAGAACCCTGTCGATGGCTTTTCTGCTGGTTTGGTCGACGAAACCAACATTTTCGAATGGAGCGTTACCATAATTGGACCCCCTGATACTCTTTAGTAAGCTTCTTTACTAGATGCCCTTGTCTTTTTTTTTTTTCTCGCCAATTTCATTTTGCCATTTTCAATTACTGGTGATTTCCTTGCTTCTGTGTTCTGGGGTTTTGGGTTTCTCCCTAAAGATCATTTTTTTAATTATACTCATCGGGGGTTTTGTTGGATTGCTTGGGTTTTGAGATTCTTTTTAATTCTTGCACGGAAGGGGTGTTTTTTTTATCTGCCCTAATCGTGATGAATCCAGTGATTCTTGTGTGAGTCTTTCCGGATGTTTTGTTTAATTTTTTAGATTATGGGTTGATGTTTGGAAGTTTGGTTAAATTTGAAAAGAATATATATAGATTGCGTTTCTTTTTTATTTCGGCTTCTACAAAAGATAAAACTTTCCTGATTTGGGTTGTTCTTGGTTGGTTTCACTTGATTGATTTTCCTAAGATGTAGGCTTTGCTTATGTTTTTGTTGTAAAAGATGACCTAAGTCACTATTTTCCTTTCCTTTTATTGGATAGGCATAGGCTTTATTGTTGATTGTTTTATTTTGTTTGTATGATCTTTTATGGCACTTGAGTTTTTACTGACCACTTGGTTTTCTTGTTTTGACAATTCTTTGATTTCGTGTAGCGATGGGGGATTTTTCAACGCCATTATGAGCTTTCCACCCAACTACCCAAATAGCCCGCCATCAATGAAATTTACCTCTGAAATATGGCATCCCAATGGTTGGTTTTATTCGTTTTCCATCTTGCATTGGTTAAAACACCAAGTTGGATTATGTTGTTCAATTTGCAGTGTATCGTTTTACCATTTCCAATCTTGCTTTGATTAAAACACGAAATTAAATGATGATGTTCAATTTGCAGTTTATCCTGATGGGCGAGTTTGCATATCAATTCTTCATCCTCCTGGTGATGACCCAAATGGTTATGAGCTTGCAAGTGAGCGCTGGACACCTGTTCATACAGTACGTAAAAACACAAAACCATATGTTTAATTATTTAGTTTAATTTTATAATGAGAACTCTGCCTTTTATTATTCAATTGGTGATTATGCTTTGATTTGTTGGCTAAATTAACCTAGTTGTAGAAACATGACAGGTTAGTAATTTACAATATCTCTTTGGCATGCTTTTGTTAAATAATCAAGTTAAAATCTGTAAATACCCACCACCATAAGCAAACCATGTAATAATTGACACATGTTTACTAATTTTCCTCCTGTTGTTTGGCTGTATGCATGATGTGCTTAATCTGAAGGCATTTCCATCAATGTTATTTTGCAATAAGAGATACTTAAGAAATACTAGAAGACTTTAATATTTTCAATCCTTTCACTCCATAAATGGATCTAGACATATAGTATATAGTATATTTTTTAAATGCAATTCACTGCCCTAGTGTTGGAGATTAGTGTAGTTTAAACTTTGTAGCAGTAGCACGTGTGATCTTGTTTGATAAGTGCTCCAAAAATTAAATTGTCTGTGCACACATTTGGTAAGGTATAAGGTATATATATACATGGCAGCAAATAATTGTATAATGAATTTATATACTATGCTTCATATCATGGTGGTTCCTCTGTTTGCTTCATACATACACATAATCTAGAGTAGATCCCCTTGTGATGCTGTCTGCATTGCATTAATAATAGTTCACATGGTCATAATAGGATAGAGCTCTCCACTCCATACATGCATTTTCAATGAGAAGGAAAATATTAGTGTTTGGTTTGAGGGAAATGTAGGAGAGCAAAACCCCTCTTTATCTAATTTTGGCTCCTCTTTGATATTGGGGGAGGGGGGGATTTGGAAGAGAAGTAATTTAAACATTTTTAGTATAATATCTAAAATATCCTTAGTTATATTTTTAAATTCAAAATTCTAAATGTTCAAAGATAAATTAGTTTTTAAAATCTTTTTCCTTCCCTTGTGAACCAAACAACAAAAGAGCTACCTCTTTTCTCCTCCATTCCTTTTGCCTCCCCTTCCTTCCCCTCTTCTTCCTCTTTTGAACCAAACAAACCCTTGGTCTACTGCTAGGCATTAAAAGTCCAACTTTCTGATGGCTAACACTCTTCCCGGTCTCTGAATAAACATAGAAGACTGAAAGGCTCATGAGTAGTAGTTGTTGCAGTTTTTTCGACTTTCAAGTCTGTGATGGCTCATAGAAAAGCCGTAAGGGAAAAATTTTAAGGTTGTTGTAGAAGCTTTCCAGTATCATTTATGAAATTGAAATAACTAATGAGCTTGTAAAGGTGAACAATATTTAATCATAAAGCTAATTTGGAGTATTAAAAATTTTAAGATTAGATTTTATTAATATTTTTGCTGGTTGTTATTGCAAAATGATATGCTACTTCTTGTCCACCCCTAGTGGTTTGACATACTACTTGCAAAGCTTTTAAAACCTGCTTATGAATAATTATTTTCTATGCTATCTTGCAGGTAGAGAGTATAGTCCTAAGTATCATATCAATGCTTTCCAGTCCTAATGATGAATCCCCTGCTAATGTTGAAGCTGCGGTAAGTTTGACCATTTTCTGATTTGATTTTATTTCTGCAATCTTTCCTGAACTCCTATCTTATGGTACTTATTTGCATTCTACAGAAGAAAAATGTAAATTGATATTTTTCACGAGAAGCATGCAAAAGTATCAGTAACTAACTGTGAAGGGAGTACTTTTGTTGATGCTGTTATCATAGTCTTAAAAACTTGGTGTAACAATAAAACAAACTTGGGTCCTGTGGGATTGATTTGATCCTTTATTTTTTTTTAATTATTTCAGTAGTTATTTTCTTAGATTAGGTATTGGATATTAGTGAAATTCTGAATTATTTAGGTACTTGAGCACAGATAGCTAGTTGGTGTGAAGAGTGAAATGTGGAATTGCAAATAATACAAACTTTAACTTGTAGAATACTTCTACTAATGATTAGATAACAAAGTGAGACAAATTCTATTTTTAGCCTGTAAGAAGTTCACAAGTGATTAAATATGGTAAAAGCATAATATTAATAAATGGTTTGTTTAGGAAATGTGTTATGAGGGAAGTAGGCATTGCTCAAATTGCTCTGATTTAAGCAATACCCTGAACTTTTATATCAGAGTTATGAAGCACAAACAAAGGGCATGAAAATGTTTCTTTTAGTAGTATTTCAGCAAGCTTGGCAATGGGGCTAGTAGGGGTAGGTTTTTTGCTCTACCGAATCCTGTCCCATCCTAAAAGATAACATTTATGTACCCCTTAAGTTTTAGGGTGAACCTGCACTGCTGCACCAGTCCCACAAGAAAATATTGAAACCTGCAGCGTATGTCCCCACCATCACTATCTCATATTTATGAATACATATTTCTGTCAGAAGATTTTAAATAAATATACCAAATAATGAATTACGATCTTATAATTAATTCATCATTTCATAAAATCTATAATACATATGTTCAAGATAAGTGTCATACTAGGAAAAGATTAACAATAAAATTTTAGTACCTGGATGAGCTTCTTTGGGAATGATTTTATTCATCTTCGACATACTTTTCCTATTAAAAAAGTATATCTCATTTGTTTGATGAGTACTTTAAGTAGATAATTTAAAATGATTCTAGAAATACACATTGCTGCTCCCTATTAAATTTACTGATTAAAGTGCCACGTCTGGGGCTATGAATTGCTTCGATCTTTACATTTTAGTAGATCTTTATATTGTTTTGTAAGTTTTTCTTAGACCGTGTTGTGGTCTTGTTTTTCAGAAGGAGTGGAGGGAGAGCAGAGATGAATTCAAGAAGAAGGTTAGCCGTTGTGTGCGGAAATCACAAGAAATGTTGTGATCTACAGCTCCTGCTTTTGTGAACGAAAGGATATACAACTCTGTATGGATTGATTCACCTGTTACTGAGTAGACAAGTGGTCATTTGTCTTGGAAAAACCAACTGTATTCTAAGTGCTTGGCCAGAGTGTTTGGTGACTAGTTATTGGAAATTTAGTTTGTTCATTTGCATGACCTTATTGTTAAAATCTTTGATTAGGTGCAAAGTTTTGCCTTTTGCTGAATATTTTGATTGTGGATGGATGGATGTTGCATTCTGAATTTTGTCATTGCCTGTGTTAAATATAGGCTTCTTTACCTGTATATTGCTGTTTTGCCTAGCGTTGGTTACGTATATGGTTTGAGAGACCAAAGAGGTTGGTCCTTCGCTTGAGGCATCACATCACTTGTCTTCTGTTGCCTCGGGTAACTGCATGCATCGACATCCTCAGTGCATACGCAATCGCAATGTTATAAAAGGAATACCTTTTGAGAACTGTTTATGTTTTCCATTTTTATATTAACTATTTTATCCCTTATTATTTTCTATGATTCTTTTAAACCACTTTTTCCTATATCAGTATTTCTTACTATTTTCATTTCATTTTATTTTGAAACTACTTATGAACAACGGTTCATAAAAATAATCATTTTTAAAGTGCTGGGTGCCTTTGTCCTGTAACTATCTAATAACTCTTTTCTATTTTTTCCCCTATGTTTAACCTCCCTTCATCCTTATGTGAAGTGTATACTAATACAACGTTTTTGTATGGAATGACTAAATGAAATATGCATATTTTTATTGCATTTACTAAATCGTAAATATTTTGTTGCGGTCACCAATTGATTTTGGTATCAAAATGATGAGTTTTTACTAAATAAAACTATAATTTCAAAAGGGCAAGGAACATCAACTTCGTGTTTACACCTGATTGAAGTAGACGTTGAGCTTATCTATTTCGCTTGATGCAAATTATGGATTATGCCAGGCTGCAGTTACATATGATCACTGGCATGTTGGTTGGTTGTACCGACGTCAAAAAATCAACCCTCTCACTTTCAGAATTTTCAATTCCTCTAAACTCATCATTGGTCGGTGATCTTGTCAACGTTTATATTAATTAGATTAAGTTTATATTAGTTTATGTAAATAAAAATTTATTGATGAATATGTGTATTGAATTCTGTTTTTAAATTTCTACCGCTTGTTTGCTGTTTACAAACTTATAATCAAGAGCCTTGTAGGCCTTTATGCTCCCGAGGTGGTTTCCTCCTTTTGAGACAACAACTCGTATTGATGTGGAGAAAGCATAGCTAGTTGCTATATTGCATGGGCTTCAAATATGTCGGGATAATAATCTAATGGACATTCAATGTCAAACTGATGGTTTCAACATTGCTAATATCCTCCAATCTAGAGTTTGCCTGAGATACCATCCTTATGCGACTTTGGTTTTTCACTGAATAAAAAAGATATCCTATATATGTTTTTTTTTTTGTTTTAAATTATATTGATTAAAAAACATTAACTTATTATATAAAAGATAATTTATGTTGATCATTTTTATTTTAAAAAAGTGACTCGTGAGCCAGCTTGTTTTGGTCAAGGGCTTGTAAAATTTCAGTCCCACACAAAATTAGCCCGCCCTGCTTTCCTCAAATTTTTGTTGGTCTTTGATAGACTAACTTGAATGGACTGCGTTGTCTCAAATTAACAATAAATATTTACTGCCTTATTAATCATTAAATGATCAGTAATTACTAATTCTTATATGTAGTTTGCACATTGATTATTTTGACAATCAAAATAAATAAATTGTATTTTTATGAATATTATGTAGTATTTTAAAGTTGATAATTAAGAATTAATTTTCATTGACAGGATGTGTTTTCGCTGATCAAGTGTTATTTAACAATAGACAAACAAAAAGCAAATCTGAGAGTACCAAATTGATCTTATATCTTAGAACAAACTTTACAACACAAATAAACATATTATTAAACACAAATAAATTGTGTTTAATAATATATATTTACAACTCAAAAAAAATATTTATAAATATTTATGTGTATTTATAAATACACATAAATATTAAAAATTTGCAATTATTTAAAAGTATAACTATATTAAAAATTATTTTATTTACAAGTTTAGTTTATTGATAATAAAAATATTGTAAAAACTTTTATGATGAACTTCTAGCGCAATTGTAAACAAAAAAAAAAAAAAAAACGGTAGCTGCTGGGT